ATAAAGGCATGAACAAGTTTCTCCAAGTCTTGACTGGAAACAAAACATCTAATTCTTGCAATGTTTTTGAGATGATAGTATGCTGATTTAGTTACTGCTTTGACATAATTCTGTCTCCAGAATTCCACCAAGATTCTTGACTTGATTCTTAGTTGTTTGACCCCTAGAGTCAAGGTATGCATTCAACTTGAGAACTTCATCTTTCTTTCCAAATGCAATGACTTCAGTTTTCTCCTTGTTTAACTGAAGAAAATGTTGGCACATCCAACTGTTGATTTCATCAATGCAATGGCAGAGGGAGTCAATGGGGCTGTAGTCATTTGGTGATAAGGCTAGGTAAATCTGGGTATCATCAGCATAGCTGTGATAGGCAATTTGGTTCTTTCTCATTATTTGACTTAGTGGGAGCATATACAGGCTAAACAAGAGCGGTGCAAGAATTGAGCCTTGTGGGACTCCACATGTCATGGACGTCCACTTAGACGTATACTCACATAATAACATCTCCCTTCTAAGTATGACCTGAACCATTTGAGTACCATCCCAGAAAGCCCGACCCAGTTTTCCAGTCTCTCTAGAAGTATGTTATGATCGATAGTGTCAAATGCAGCACTGAGATATAGTACTACCAGCACTGATATTTTGCCAGAATCAGAATGTAAGCGAATATAATTTATTATGTTAATGAGCGCTGTCTCTGTGCTGTGATGCGGTCGGAAACCAGATTGAAAATTTTCCAGGTATCCATTTGAGTTTAAATATTTGTTCAGCTGATTAAAAACTTCCTTTTCAATACTCTTATAGAAGGAAGATTTGATATTGGTCTATAATTGCTCAAAATGGTGTTAGCAAGATTGCGCTTTTTGAGAAGGGGCTTCACAACTGCAGTTTTCAGGGAATTTGGAAATGTCCCAGAAAGAAGTGAGGCGTTCTGAGATCTGCTTCCAAACACTTAAGCACCCTTTTGAAAAAAGATGTGGGAAGTGTGTCAAGATAGCAGGTTGACGATTTTAGGTGCTGGACTATTTCTTCCTAAATTTTGCTATCAATTGCTTTAAAAATAGACATAGTATCTTCTTTTTGATATTGCGGTCAAATCTGTCTGACCTCTGCATAACTTGAGGATGTGCTAATCGCCTTCCTGATATTAATGATCTTCTCAGAAAAGAAGGA